GTTTATCTGATCCTACAAGGCCCTCCTGGACCATAGATCATAGGGACTCATATGAGTTCACTGAGAGTGCACCTGCAAGTAAAGTCATCTAAGTTCATCTGCTTTTGGAAAGCCCCTGTGTGGGCAGACTATGGTCTCATGCGTCCTATATTACCTCTTGGTGAGACATTAATATTCCCTTTTAGCCAATGCTTAACTATTTGATTAAAGATTACTGGTCTAATCTATTTATTTGTTGATTAAGGGTGTATTTATTCAAACTTTCCCCATCAGGGTGGCAGTGGGGACTGCTCTTTGTCACAGGAACGGAAGGTGAGGATGTGAATTTATAGGGCGTTAGTTTGGAAGAAGAGTTTTTAAACACTGTGTCCACTCACTGTCCACTCTATTAGACACTCCTACCTTGTCAGTCCGTCTTGTAGATGTAAAGTCAGAGACGATAGCTCATCTGCTGCTGCACAGTTTGTGTTGGTCATCCTCTAGTCCTTCATCAGTGGTCACAGGACGCTGCCCACAGGACGCTGCTGGCTGGATAGTTTTGGTTGGTGGACTATTCTCAGTCCAGCAGTGACACTGAGGTGTTTAAAAACTCCAGCAGCACTGCTGTGTCTGATCCACTCAGACCAGCACAACACACACTAACACACCACCACCACGTCAGTGTTACTGCAGTGCTGAGAATGATCCACCACCCAAATAGTACCTGCTCTGTGAGGGTCCATGGGGGTCCTGACCGCTGAAGAACAGGGTAAAAGGGGGCTAACAAAGTATCAGAGAAACAGATGGACTACAGTCTGTAACTGTAGAACTACAAAGTGCACCTATATAGTAAGTGGAGCTGATAAAATGGACAATGAGTGTAGAAACAAGCAGTTAATGTTCTGCCTGATCGGTGTATATTAGTGCTCACTTAAGTGCTGTAAAAACCTGCGTTTGAAGACCGCGAGAGAGTCCGCTGTTTGGACAGGCAGCAGGAGTTCATTCCACCACCTGGGCTCCAGGACAGAGAAGAGTCTTGGTCTTGTCTTCCATGTGTCTTGAAGGATGGCAGGTCGAGCCAAGCTGTACCTGAAGCTCGAAGGGCTCGAGGCACAGCTTGAGTGTTGACCACTGCCATTAAATTTTCAGATTTGAAAAAGAAACATCTGCACTTTTAACTTACAAAAAAGTACAAAACATTTCAAAATCTCTGCTTAGTTTCTGTATACGGACTGTATCCCTCCTGAAAAAGGACCATTAGAAACCATTAGGATTAAAGCGTAATAGTTTTGCTTTCTAATTGGCTTTATGGTTTCCAATAGAGACCACTATTTTCCTGTAGAAGACCTTTAGGTCCCATTAGGAAACGGTCAGATGCATTTAGACTCTGCCACTGTTAAACCATTAGGATTCTTTACATTGTGATATCAACTCACTAAAAAGGCAAAACACATCACAAAACCATCAGAAACCAACAGAAACACAATGGTTTCTATGGGTTTTTCAGCTGGGGTGGACTGGAATTGCACTTAAGCACTTCTTCAAACTCACTTCAACAAAAGCATGAAAATTTCCTCCTCATGTATCTCGAATGGACTTGGTTATGTGGTTTGCATGATGCTAGGTAACCCATTCTGTTACAGTCTACAGAGCCCTGCTGGTGACATACCATATAAATAATGTGTGGTCACAACTTAATAAACGAGAATGAGATAATTAAGTCATGACCACAGCTTAGTAAGGAGTGGGAACGGGATCCTAATGTGTGGCTACGACTTAGTAAGCTGTGGGAATGAAATAATTAAGCCCTGGCCACAGCTTAATAAGGCATGATCTTGTTCCCATGCCTTGCTAAGTTGCGGCCACGACTTAATTATCTTATTCCCACACCTTACTAAGACGTTTCTCATGGGTTAATACGGCGTGGCCACACATGATTTATATTTATAGAGGATGTGACCAGTGTAAGTGTGAGGTACAGTGCGAGATTATTTGGGGTGAAATGATGGTAAATATTGGGTCCAGTGTGAAAATAAAGAAGACACCGAACACATCTTGGCTGATCGCCTCGGCTGTTTTGGGGTAAGAGGGAAAGATTGTGTATAAAGATCTTTCGCTTTAATGTGAACGGCTCACTTTCCACTCACGGCAGCAAAACCTCACCATTCAAATCTGAAACCCTTTAATAAAAAAAGTATAAAACTTTAATTACGACATAAATTTCAAAACTTGTCTTTTATGATAGTTTCAAATGACGTGTGCATTTTAAAAGTATATTGTGTGTTTTCCGTGAACTCTAGCGTTCCCCTCGTAAAAGCCGCACGGTGGTTACAAGGTGTTACAACCCACTGACGCCAGACCTGGACCGTGGGCAGCGTTTTCCACGTCAGTGTGCAGGAAAATAAACACGCAGCGATCTCTCGGAGTCGCCCTGAAGACCAGCATTACCAGGGAACCACAGCTACTGGAGCTCAGCCACGCATACACACCATATACTCCTCCTGAGGCCATTCCAAGCCTCTCTAGTCAGAATGACCCGTAACGGTTATTGGCCAGTGGTGGTGTAATTTGGAGAGTGCTGCGTTATGTGGCTGGCGTTCAGGTGGTCAGAGCTGGCCGGTTGGGTACAGTGAGGTCATAGCGCTGAGAGATTTCATGCGCTGTTGTACAAGCTCTTGTCCTGACTAAGCACTTTGTCCCCGGTGTCAGCGCGTAGGACATGGGGTGTGTCCAGTTCCAGCGCTCGGGCCAGGACACACACTGAGTGTGTGCGAAGCGCTCATGGGAAGCGGAGGACGGGGAAAAAGAGAGCCGGCCGAGAGAGATTCATCTGCTGCCACGAAGCTCTCAAAGCACCTCTGCCTTTCCAGCGTCTCTGTGAGCTCTGAGTCGAGGCCCAAAACGCCTCCTCTATGTCTCTGTCTCTCTTCTCGTTGTATTAGCCCCTCATGTCCTGTCCCATCATCGGTCTTGTGTCCTATCCTGCATTTTTGTCCTTGTCCTCTTTCCTGTATCATGTTTTCAGTCCTGTCTCTGTCATGTACTAAGCTTCCTGTGTTCTCTGTCCTGTGTCTGGGTCTTCTGTCTTTTGTCCTCTGTCTCCTGTGTGTCTTTATTGTCTTCTGTTCTGTCTCCTATGTCTTCTTTATTGTGCTGTTTTGTGTCCCCGTCTTCTGTCTTTTGTCCTCTGTCTCCTATGTGTCTTTATTGTCTTCTGCCCTTTGTCTTCTGTTCCGTTCTGTCTCCTATGTCTTCTTTATTGTGCTGTTTTGTGTCCCCGTCTTCTGTCTTTTGTCCTCTGTTATATTCTGTATCCTCTGTTCCGCCTCCTGTCTCCTATGTCTTCTTTTTTGTGCTCTGTCCTGTGTCCTCTATCCTGTCCTTTATCCTGTGTGCATCATCGTGTCCTATGCTCTGTCCTGTGTCCTCACCCCTGCCATATTCTTGTGCGTCCACTCTGTCTTCTGTCCCTGCACTGTGTCCACTGTCTTATTATCCTCTAGTGTTATATCATGACTTGACGTATGTCCTCCTGTCCTGTTATTTTCTTGCGTTCTCACCACTGTCCTCTGTTATGTCTCGTCCTGTGTCCAGGCCTCTCTTCTGTCCTGTGTCTTTTCCCTGTGCACTAATATGTTCTATGTACTCTTTCGTGTGTCTCCTGTCCTATTTTTGTGTCCTGCCACCTGACCTTTGTGCTCCTGTCCTGGAGGGCCTTTACCAGCAATTCCACACGGTCATAATGAGCACAAAACACCTATTACTACTTAATACCAGCAGTTATCAAATAATGTATATTGGTCACTGAATACTAAGTCCTAATGCTCTTAGGCAGTTTTCCCTGGTTCCTCTGGTCTCAGGGAGTTTTTCCTGACACTGTCCTCCTCAGCAGTGCTCATTAAGGGGCTCCACTTCTGGAAAGCTTCTTCGGGAAAAATTCTGTTGCAGAAAGCACCATACAAATAAATCTCAGTTCTGCTGAACAGGTGCTCTACAGCTCACGGTGAGGTCTGGGTGGATCTCAAATTTCATATTTCTCAGATTCTTTTGTTTGCAGAATTGGTAATGCGCTACTTTTTGATAGGAGTGACCCAGTCCCAGACTCAATGATGTTAACTGAACTGGGCACGGCCATCTATACTGAGCATATGTCAGAACTGAGACAGCCTTTGTGTCAGAGATGCTCCTAAAATGATGTCTATGCAGACTGATCATTCAGAACTGACACAGCTGCACACTGAATGGCCAAAACACAATATTACAAAACTACTTTCGTGCCCAGTAGCACAGAATGTGCTGCTGATATTTGTTCAGGATTTGTTTAATATAACATGTATTTCCAAAACAAAATGTCTACTGTACTGTTTATGATTATCATTATTATTAGCTGCAAAGCTTTTAGTCTTCTGGAGGTCCCAGACAGTGGATGCTCCTCTGGTGCCACCCAGTGGTCATCTGGAGAAACTTCATGGTGAGGTTCAGTCCCACAGAGTATAGACACGGTACGTGTCCAAAAGTTTGTGGACACCTGCTACTCCAGCGTTTCCTATGAAATGAGTGTTAATAGTGAGTTTGTGCTGCAGTAACAGCCTCTACTCTTCTGGGAAGACTTTACACTGGATGTTGGAACATTGCTGTGAGGATCTGATTGAGCATTAGTGACAACAGGTACTGATGTTGGATGGTCAGTTCTGGATCACTCCAACTCATCCCAAGGTACTGGATGGAGCTCAATCACTCCAGAGAACACAGTTCCACTGCTCCACAGCCCAGTGCTGGGGGGCTTTAGACCCCTCTAGCCCACGCTTGGCATTGGGCATGGTGACCTCAGGCTCATGTGCTGCTCCTTCAGAGCATTCAGTTCTATTGATAAATGCTGTTCTATGGAGACTCTACAACTGAACACCTGTGTTAACAGTGAGTGCCCCATAGTAACTGAATTCACTTAATCATGAGGGCCGACTCGAAACTTTGACATGTAGTGTAACACAAAAAAAGAAAAAAAAACAGAAAAGTTGGAAGAAAGGTCATCGAAAAAAGTTTTAATTTTACAGCATGAATCTGTGCAAAACAGCACTACATAATGGCATGACGGACGAGTGTCTGTAAAACAATAAAGGAGAAAACTGATCTACAGAACTGAAATACCTGCAAACCCCAACAGTACAGTACAGTACTCTTAAAAATAAAGGTGCCAAACGAGCTTCCTTTGAGCGACGCCATAAAAGAACAACTTTCGGTTTCCTAGAGAACGTTCAAAGGATGATCCTTCTAAGAACCATTTTTGTAAACGTTATGAGCGCATGTGAAGAACCTCCACATTATGTAAAGGTCCTGCACCAATTAAAGGTTCTTCCTAGACCTGTATGTCCAATCAAGAACCTTTATTTATAAGAGTACACAGTGCAGTCCGGTAATCCTCTGATTAAAACAACAACAAAAAAACAAACTGAAGTTGTGAAAAGTTCATTATACCCTTGCAGTCAGTTCATTATCAAGCTAAGGCAATATTACAATATGTAATACCATAGAAACTGTATTGTATTTAAATTCAGTGCTTCCTAGAAACACAGGAAATTGACATCTGTCAAAATACAGAGGCGTCTTTCCAAACAGCATCTCCACTAGATAAATAAAACCATTTCATTTGACAGTAGAACAGGAGTGTAAAAGGCTGACCCAAAAAAAAAGTAGACAACTTGTGAAAACAGTATTCAGCATTACTGCCATCACAGTAAAGGACACAGCGTGAATGAGAAACACATTGTACACAGAAAACTTGTACAGTCAGTACATTCTTCATCGGGAAAATCAGAAACGGACTCAGTAACGCTTATGTTGGAGGTGCTTGGAGAAGTCCTGGAGTCTGTCCATCCTGACCTCCTTCTCACACACATTTTGACACAAAGCTGAGGTTAAAATACCTCCAAACGATCCCTCAGGGGCGGCAAACCTCAATCCAGATCGATCTCTCTTATTGAGTCTTTAGCATCCTCTGTGTGCGCGAGTTTCTCCAGCCCATCACATCATTACCACAGGCCAAAGGATTCAGTGGAGATTTGGGTAGAAAGCTGAATAAAGTCTTATAGTTCATCCTGAAAAACAAAACAAACAAATCAACTAAACTCTAATTAAAATAAGGGTTCTTTAGTAAAGAAAACGGTTCAATATAGAACCATGAACACTCAAAGAAGCCTTTCCATGATTAAAGGGTTCTTTGCATCATGAAATGGTTCTTCAGACTGATGGAGAATGAGCATGAATGAGGTATAGACGGATCTACATGGAACCTTTTTGAAAAGGGTTCTATATAGCACCCAAATAGGGTTCTTCTATTGTTACAAGCTTGATGCTGGAACAATAGAAGAACGCTTTTGGTTGCTATTTCCTACTTATTATTCTCCATCAATCTGAAGAACCCTTCCATGGTGCAAAGAACCCTTTAATCATGCAGAGGGTTCACTGAGTGTTCATGGTTGTCTATAGAACCATTGTCTTTACCAAAGAACACTTGAAGAACCATCTTTACGAGTGTACACATAAACAAAATCTTTTTAACACATTTTTTCCACTGCGTGTGAGGTAAAACCTCCACAGTCAAATCAACACTCTGACTTTCTACACTCATTTTGACCAGAAAAAAAAAAAATTGTCGTTATGAGAACAAAACCTTATATCTCCAATAAAATAAAAAAAAATAATAATAAATCCTTCAATGCAAGTCAAAAAATAGTAATAAAATAGATTTTCCAACTATTTTCACTTGTATGCAAAAGTTTGAACATTCAAAGTCAAATTACATGTTTAGTTTGTTTGTGGATTAAACTAAGCACAAGTCAACACCTCCTTCAACATGGCATTCCTTCTGCACATTTAGTGCACAATCTCACAGCCAGAGATTAACATACTGGGAAATAAAACATGCCAAGTGCCATAACTTTTGCACAGGCCAAATTATTACACCCCCCCACCACCAGTATGTTAAATAAAGCAAAAAACAGTGATTGTGCAATAAAATGTGTTCTCTGTAGAGGCCGTGTTCACTTATTTTCACTTAGAAAATCAACAATGCAAGAAATCTGACCGGGGTGTTCAGACTTTTGCACATGACTGCATATTTCCCTGTCAAATTTGCAGCCGTTTTGAGGCATGAAGTTCAAAATTAAAGCCTCAGTACGTGACTCTGACTTATAAACACATACAGAGACATGTGAACACCTCTGGTGCAGATGTTCAGTAGAGTTGCAGAGTTGCTCTTAAGGCCTCTTAATGTTTTGAGTCTGGCTTGGATGTAAATGAAAGAACAACCTAAACTATTCCCTCCCTCATGCTGTAGTGACCACTAATTAGCCCTCAGTGAACTTTCAGTACAACCTCACTACACTACACACTACAGCTGCGGCCAGATTCGTACCTTGGGCTGGGATTTGTTCTGGAGAGCGAGCTGCTGCAGTCTCTGACGGATGACGTCAGCGATGACGCTGGAGTCCCGGCTGTTGATGTACTCTCCACCCTGCTGTCGCTGTGAGAGGAGGGAGAGTTTTTGTGTGCATTACAGTATATACATAACATATATAAAACAATATATCATCAGTGGGGAACCCTTAAGGTCTCATGAGCTCTGGGAAAATAAATAAGTGCCTGTTTTAGTTCATTTTTATTAACCAGAGTCATCACGCTTGTTGTGTTTAAGCCCTGCAAGTATTACAAAGCAATACTCTAATTTCATTGTTAGTTTTGGTTGAAAACTATGGGTTAAAACTCTGAAACACTAAATGGGAAATTCTCCAATCAGAATTGTTTTCTCTGTGGTATCTAGGCCGATACAGCCAAGCAAGCTCTCCTACTGGTTAGGATTCAGGAGCAGATCTTACACATTAGATTATGAGTGGAATCCATTTTGTGAGAACAAACATCACTCTAGTCCTTCTGTAAGTTCTAGATATTTCACTGACGATGACTACGAATCATAGTCTAACCAGGTTCCAGGTAGTTGTTAGGAACGGAGAACAGCAGCGGCAGCTCTATGCCAGGACTCTTTACTGAAAGACTCACTGTAAAACTGATACATACAAGCTCAAACATGTCGCTGTTGTCGGAAAAAAAACTCGTATCTCCAAAATGGTAACTTTATAGAAGAAGGAAAAAACATACTTTACTTTCAATGTAAGTCAATGGAACCAGACTTTTTTCCCCCCCCAAGACATTTTGGGTCGTTTCTTTTGGTCCATTCTTCACAAAATTTACATACAATGTAAAGAGCAACAGGTGTTTTCAAATTATGTCAAAAACTGAAAAACGGCAAAAATGGAGATACGAGGTTTTCTTCCCGACAGCGATATGCTAAAGTCTTCAAAGCTTCAGAGAAGACGTATGGAATGACTTTTATAAACTTCAGTGTTTAACGTAAAAAGACATGTGGCCCATGTAAACCAGTGTTAGCTTAGTGCTAACATACAACTGGAAAACCTGTAGGAAAAGAGCGAACACAGAAGTGTTATTTCTTTCTTTCTTTCTTTTAACGTTCATGCCCAAACTGATGGCCTTGCTGTAACATTCACAGTTCACCACTTGTTTATATCAATGTCAGAACAAACCTTCATATCTCTATTTTTGTTTTGTTTTTGTTTCATGATGAACAGGCCAATAGAAATGATCTGTATTGGCTTAGAATAAAATCTTGTTACTTTAACTTACATTGAATTAATTCCTATTATCAGTTCCTAATATGATAACCTCCTGCTGAACAGGAGCTCAGTGTGGTGGCCCTTACCCGTGGAGTGCCCAGGTATGGATAGAAGCAGACAGTGGGGTAAGCAGTGATGCCTGCACTCTGACAGGTCTGATAGTGAGCCTGACAGTCCACCTTTCCTGCCCTGACCGTTCCCTTCAGGATCTGTGGGCAAAAATAACAGGTTACCAACACAGTTTAGAGCGTGATCTCATTCACACCACACCTGAAAGCCCACTCACTCATTCACAACACACCTGAAAGCCCACTCACTTGTTCACAACACACCTGAAAGCCCACTCACTTGTTCACAACACACCTGAAAAGCCCACTCACTCATTCACACCACACCTGAAAACCCACTCACTCATTCACACCACACCTGAAAGCCCACTCACTCATTCACACCACACCTGAAAGCCCACTCACTTGTTCACAACACACCTAAAAAGCCCACTCACTCATTCACAACACACCTAAAAAGCCCACTCACTTGTTCACAACACACCTAAAAAGCCCATTCACTCATTCACAACACACCTAAAAAGCCCAGTCACTCATTCACACCACACCTGAAAGCCCACTCACTCATTCACAACACACCTAAAAAGCCCACTCACTTGTTCACAACACACCTAAAAAGCCCACTCACTCGTTCACAACACACCTAAAAAGCCCACTCACTCGTTCACACCACACCTAAAAAGCCCACTCACTCGTTCACACCACACCTGAAAGCCCACTCACTCGTTCACACCACACCTAAAAAGCCCATTCACTCATTCACACCACACCTGAAAGCCCACTCACTCATTCACACCACACCTGAAAGCCCACTCACTCATTCATACCACACCTGAAAGCCCACTCATTCATTCACACCGCACCTGAAAGCCCACTCACTCATTCACACCACACCTGAAAGCCCACTCACTCGTTCACACCACACCTGAAAGCCCACTCACTCGTTCACACCACACCTGAAAGCCCACTCATTTATTCATACCATACTCACTCAATCATACCGTACCTGAAAGCCCACTCACTCGTTCAAACGGTATCTAACAGCACACTCACTAATTCACACCCCACTCACTCACTCATACCGCACTCACTTATTCATACCGTACTCGAAAGCCCACTCACTTGTTAAAATGGTATCTAATAGCACACTCACTCATTCACTCATACTGCACTCACTCCTTCATATCACTTCTGAAAGCCCACTCACTTGTTCATACTGCATTCTGAGTAATACTGGACCAGAAAACCCACACACTTACTCATACCGCACCTGAAAGCCCACTCACTCCTTCATACCACACCTGAAAGCCCACTCACTCATTCACAACACACCTAAAAAGCCCACTCACTCGTTCACACCACACTCACTCATTCATATCGTACCTGAAAGCCCATTCACTTGTTCAAACGGTATCTAATAGCACACTCACTCATTCACTGAACAAAATTAAGGAAAATTCAGTATGAACGTAACTGATAATTATTTGTTAATTCTTATTTGTTTTTAAATTTCAAATTGCAAAAGGTGCAATTTTTATTATATCCTACATCGTTCAACACTGTCTTACCAGATTTTACTTAAAGTAATTTTACCTAATTACATATCAGAGTTCCTGGAAAACGTTAAGCTTCATTTATAGAAATTAATATCACTTAAATCACAATAGCAATATCGGTAAGCAAATTTGATATTAGATATACACTGTATACAAGGCCAAAAGTATTTGGACACCTGACCATTACACCTATATGAGTTTGTTGGACATCCCATTCCAAAACCATGGGCATTATTATGGTGCTGTCCCTCTTTCTTCACTCTTCAGTGTGTCTGTGGGAATTTGTGCCCATTCAGTCAAAAGAGCATTTGTGAGGTCAGACACTGATGAGGACGAGAGGGCCTGGCTTGCAATTTCCAATCCAGTTCATTACAAGGGTGTTCAGTGAGGTTAAGGTCAGGACTCTGTGCAGGCCACTGGAGTTCCTCCACACCACACTGGTCACTTTGTGCACAGGGGCTCAGTCATGCTGGGACAGAAAAGGGTCTTCAACAAACTGCTGCCACAAAGCTGGAAGCATATAACTGTCTAAAGTGTCTTTGTGTGCTGTAGCATTAACTTCACCCTTCACTGGAACTGAGGGGCCCAAACCCTGAAAAACAACCCAGCCCATCATCCCTCCTCCACCAAACTTTACTGTTGGCACTATGCGTTCTGGTAGGTAGCGTTCTCCATCTGCCAAACCCAGATTCATCCATCAGACTGACAGAGTGAAGCTGATTCATCACTCCAGAGAACATGCTTCCAGTCCAGTGTCGGATGCTTGGCATTGTGCTTGTGTGCAGCTGCTCAGTCATGGAAACCCATTTCATGAAGCTCCTGATGCTCAGTCAGTGTGAGTTTGCATGGTCTGGTGTTTTGTGGCTGAGCTGTTGTTGCTCCTAGATGCTTCCATTTCACAAACAATACCACTTACAGTTGAGCGGTGCGGAACCGCCTCGTGGCAAAGGTGGCTTTCTAGGACAGTGCCACGTTTAAAGTCAGTGAGCTCTTCAGTATGTCCTGTTCTACTGTCAGAGTTTGTCTATAGATTACATTACATCTGCTTGATTTTATACACCTGTTAATGGCAGATGTGGCTGAAACCCCTGAACTCAATAATCAGTAGTGGTGTCCATATACTTTTGGCCATATAGTGTATATCCAATCAGACATTTCTCCCAATCATTTAGCCCGACTTCAAGACAGTAGCTTTTGTTTGTGTTAAGCAACATATTTTTGTCCATGTTTAGCCTTGTAGCTCCAGTACACAGCTACAGAGGTGAACCTCAGACAGCAAACGTGTCTTGATTGACATTCGGGATATGCTGAACAGGCTGAACAACCCTACTGAAGGCCATCACTCAATCATCAGTGTCTATCTTGCATTAATCCCAAACAGGAAGGCCGTCAAAAAGAAGATTTAGTACAAATGTAAAAAAACAACACGTCATTCTGGTCAGTCTAACAAAGCTGTTTCATCAACACCGTCACTCTGAGAAGTGAACCGCTCTTGCTTAATCTGAGCAAACAGTTGGACCGAGATATGATCTGGTCACTGGGCATGAGAACGCAATGTCATTTTACAAAGACGTAGCAGCGGTGGGAAAGAACGGCTTAAATGAGTAGACAAAAATGTCAGTTCTCCCCTTTAATCCGACGGTAGACGATCAGCTGTTTGAAGACCTGTTTGGCCTGCGAGTTTAGTGTTGAAGCCTGAATTTCGTCTGTGGTTTCCATTCATGAGCATCATTTGGACGGGATTAGTTTAAATGGGGAAGTAGTTTAAACGGGGAGGTAACGTCACAGGACGTATGTAATGTTTATGACAGATTTGCACAGATAAGAAAGCTTTGTATAAATTACAGATGGACATGGCTACTCAATGTACACACTGCCATCACACCAAAAAGGTCCATATGCAAATTGTTTAGCTGCTCACAAGTAGAAAATGTCCAAATAATTATTTTAACCATAATCTAATTTATCCTAACTCTGTGGACCATTTTACCAAACTAGTTACAGTCTGCAGTCCCACAGTATAAAAACTACTACCAAAAAGAGTTGAAGTGTTCAGACCTTAAATCTAGTTAACCCCATGGCATTAATAAGCTATTATGCGTGTGTGTACACACATATATATATATATATATACACACACACACAATACACAAAATGATCATTTATGTGTGCTATGTGTGAAACATAGCAAAAAAATGTCCCATGTCACTACCGAAACACAACATTTTAAGCCTGTAGGCGGAGCCTTATTGTAGTCACACCCCTGCATTTTAGTGCAGGAAGTGCAACTGCATCCCTGTCCCTCATGGCCACATGGTGAGCAGTTAGATCCCATTGTTTTAAAGTAAATGTGTCCCAAAGTCTGAAAATCAGTGTGGAACATTAATAATTGTCACTACTGAAACACACATTTTCTGCGATTAAGTGAACTTTCTAGCGTTTTAATGAAAAATACTATGATTTTCTGTGTGTTCAGCTGTTCAAAGCTGCGTTTGCTGGTCATGTGCTGACTAGTGTTTTTGAGCTCAAAATGCGCTAAAATTGTCACTAGTGAAACAGTCAATACTGAAACATTTGGTAAAGTTTCTGTTATTATTTACCGAATAATTAGTTACTGATTATTAGTTATAAAATGGAATGTTTAATCATTTATTTGTATTAAAATGAACATAATTAAGGTATAGGGTCACTCAAAGCGAAAGGATTATAGTCTGAAGTCCAAGTCAGTTAAAAGTCTGATGTGTTTTTAGCCAATTTGGTACAAACACATGCATTAAGTGCAGTCGGTCATTCACATCATTAGTTTGGGAATTTACAACCAACAGTCAACATCGCCGTATACAATCATTTTTCTGTCATTTTACAGGTTTGGAGTCTTGAGGTAGGACAATATGGTCGTACTAAAACTCTACAACACCACACTGACGTAATCAGGCCATAAACACGTCATGTTACCACTACCAACAATTATGACAGATGCTATTATCTTTGCTGTGCACCCTAGTTGGACGTACCCTGGCGAGGACTTCGAACTCTGGGGCAAAGTGTTGGCATGGCCCGCACCACGGGGCGTAAAAATCCAGCACCCAGTGCTCCCTCCCTTCCAGAACCTTCCTCTTAAAGTCTTCCGGCGTCAAATCCACTGAGGCACGGGGCAGAGAACTGAGAGGAAACAAGAGTGTCAGAGTGAAGACGCTGAGGCAGCGTTGATGTTTCTGTGTGAACACTAAACGTTTTATATCAGATTTCATATGGTCTCTTACGGAGCACCATAGAGCTTTAAAAGCAACAGTTTGTGGTATTTAACTGCAATTAAACACAAAGAGTTTCAGTGTGAACACAACTCGGAGTCAAAATCCCGGTTTAAGTTTAAGCAACAACGTATTTGTACAAGATTCAGCACAATACCCAGGAAATTACCCGGAGGCTCATGTGTGAACAGAAGCCAAAAACATCACCAGGAAATACAAAGACGTCTTGTCTGGATTACAGCAGGCAAAGTTTATCGACTTCTTTAAGGCTGTGTTCAGACTGCAGTAACCCAAATCCGATTTACTGCCCAAATCTGACTGTTGTTTGATCGTTAATGTCGTGCCCTGTATCTGATATCAGTCTGAAAAGATCACTTGACCTGCATGGGCAAAAGAACACAGATCCACCCAGTATGATCATTTAAACACAGCTGCCCTCTAGATTTCCTTAAGATTAAAAGACTCCTTTGTTGCGACACATTTTAATGTGTGCAAACTGCTGCTTTTAATCTGGATAAAGTTTACAGAAAAGAGTATAAATTGTGGGTTCATGCTAAAATAATAAATGGCTTTTATCAGTGTTATTAGGATATAGATAACAATAAAAGGCTTTGTCTTTTTTATTCAAATTCATTTCGATGTTACTTCAACATCAAAATCATTTACGCCCTTGTATATGGAAAGCTGCAGCACAGCTTTATCTAGTGAATAAGCATGACCACGATTTCAAAAAAAGTGGATTATCCTATAGATTATTTTGAAGTCATACAATATATCTAGACTGATATGGACAGAGCTACACATTTTAAAAATATATGTATCAAATATGAATTCTTTTGTGCATCTTAAAGCCACGGACGGCGTGTATTCTGACATTTAAATCGCAACACTTCACTGGCAATTGTGACAGATGGAAACTCCGGCAATACTATCATCAATCAGCTCAACTCTACTGAATGACGTACTGAATGTTGCCTGTAGCTCCAGTACAAAACTAAAGAAGCACATTTCAGACTGTTTGACTGTTCTACTGCATCTGGGGTAAAGAGGGGAAAACTGTGTTTGATTTTTTTGTCAAACTATTTATTTAGAAAGCGTACCTGAGGGCCCAGGTCTTGAGGGAGTGAGCATCTCTGTGCCAGCCATTATAGCTACTGTAGGGGAAAGAAGAAAAAAGAAAGAAGCTGTTGTATTAGCCTGTATGTATTATATTGGATTAGATGTATTAGAGTGATATTTCATATTAATTAAAAAGTGTGAGAAGTAGGGATGCACCGATACCAGTTTTCCCCTTCCGATGCTGATACCTGATCCTTAAGTATCGGATAGTATGCCAGTACTAACTGTATGTAACCTTACTACCTTATAAGTCCTGACATTCAACCAATTCCACTTCTTATTTTTATGAAGCCATGTTCTGTGTCACAAATAAAACCTACCAAGCTTTAATAAATGGCATTTACTTTGTTTAGTTGTAGTTTAGTTATATATATATATGTATTTATGTACACACACATACACCAGTCAGGCATAACATTATGAGCACCTCCTTGTTTCTACGCTCATTGTCCATTTTATCAGCTCCACTTACTATATAGGTTCACTTTGTAGTTCTACAGTTACAGACTGTAGTCCATCTGTTTCTCTGATACTTTGTTAGCCCCCTTTTACTCTGTTCTTCAGTGATCAGGACCCCCATGGACCCTCACAGAGCAGCTACTATTTGGGTGGTGGATCATTCTCTGATGTGGTGGTGGTGTATTAGTATGTGTTGTGCTGGTCAGAGACGATAGCTCATCTGCTGCTGAACAGTTTGTGTTGGTCATCCTCTAGTCCTTCATCAGTGGTCACAGGACGCTGCCCACAGGACGCTGTTGGCTGGATATTTTTGGTTGGTGGACTATTCTCAGTCCAGCAGTGACACTGAGGTGTTTAAAAACTCCAGCAGCACTGCCGTGTCTGATCCACTCAGACCAGCACAACACACACTAACACACCACCACCACATCAGTGTTACTGCAGTGCTGAGAATGATCCACCACCCAAATAGTACCTGCTCTGTGAGGGTCCATGGGGGTCCTGACCACTGAAGAACAGGGTAAAAGGGGGCTAACAAAGTATATATATATATATAAAAATCACCCACTTCTATAGTCTTCCCGTGAAATGCTTGTGTTAGAGGTTTTTGCCATGAGAAGTTTTACTGCTGCTTGTCAACCCACACTGCGATGTGGTATCAGTATCCCATATCGCTGATACTGTGTTTGAATGCCAGTATCAGTGCAACCCTAATTAGAAGAGAAAGTCCAATATAAAAGCTGACAATTTCAGACAAGCGTAGTGCGAACAGATTGTGAGTATGTAGAAACAGGTAGATGACTGGGCAATATGAAAGGGGGAACAGAGAGTGTTGTAAGAGAAGGTGGATGTGAATGTACGCACTGGTTCTTGTGGTTAAACTAGAGTGAAAGCAGTACAACATATCTGTGAATGCAGGAGTCTCTGTGGTTGAATACACGCTATTTGTTGATCACACTGTGATCACAGTGAAGAGCCATGATAAAGCATTACAATGCATCTGTGAAGCATGTTGAGAGGCACGGTGAGATGCATTTACGAATGCTCGTTATCAGTGCTGGTCTGAAGTTTAGTCCTTTGTAATGGGGCACTGTCTGATGTAGCACGACATGGAACGCTAAGGATGAGTGTTTTGTGAAAAACAAGGAATACATTGTTAAACAAACAAAAATAATAAATAAAAAGTGTTATAATGTGTTTATGAATGCTCGTACTGGTACTGGTCTCTGCGGTTGCTGTTCTGGGGGAAGAGGCGGATCTCAGGATACGCGCGCACGTTCTCACCCTGACAGAAAGAGTGATATTTCTGACAGTCCACCGTTCCCACATTTATCATCCCACTCAGCATCTACACACAAGCAAAAACAGCAGTCAGTTAAAGACATTTACCTAGAAAATCACAGCACTGACACAAAAATAGCCTCTGAACAAATAATTGTGGTAAACTTAGTTAAAAAGTAAAACTACTGACATTTTAATATATATATACATGTAAAAGAATTGTGTGCACTGCTGGCTTCAAGCCTGGATACTGCAGTATGACTAATAAACTACAAATAAAATAAACTAATAAACTAAAATGATGATTAAAAAAAATGTTACCAATAAAAAATAACAATTTTACTTGCAAAACTGTTTGAAACTAACAAGATTATTGAAAATAAACAAAAATAAACCATTAAAAACATCCCAAAACTTCTTTACTGTAAGTCAGCTATTGTTCATCTCACTGTTCTCTCATGTAAGTATATTTAAACAGGTGTTTGGTACCCGAGCCATTCTCCTCCACTCTGGCAGCAGAGCCTGACAGGGTCCGCACCACGGAGCGTAGAAATCCACCATCCATGTCTCCGTATGCTTCCTCCTCTTCACCAGCTGCTGAAAGGTGTCTGGTGTCAGCGTCACCACAGCCGGATTCACCAGGTCCTGTAATCCGACTCACACTGTTAAACCTGTTGCACTTCACCTTCCACACTCAGCCACTTTACTGAGAAACTAACCTCGCTCACTTTATATGCAGTCATTATAATCTGGACATGGTCTCTGTTGTCTGGTGCTTAATGGTTGTACAGATGTCTAGTTATTGATGTCTATTAATTTAGCGCATAGTGTTTGCATAGCTTGTCTGCTGCTGTTCTATGTTAAACGTAGAACCGTGTCCTAAAAGAAGCTTCATTTTGTTCCTTTCTCAACACATCCGTGATGAGAAGCAGTGACGATAAAGCTGACGCTGACTAACGAGATCCTGTCTCATTATTACGACTTAGTATCTCATAATTATGACTTGCTGTCCTATAATAAAGAGATCTCATCTCATAATATGGAGACCATTTCTCAGAAGTTTGACTTACTGTCTCATAATTATAACTACATCATTCTTATGACTTCCTATCTCATAATTAGACTTAGTACCTCAATTATGAATTAGTATCTCATAAGAATGACTGACTATGACTAATGCCCAATTCCATTTTACCCCTCGCCTCTACCACTTAGCCCTTAGCCCTCTGTTTTGCATGTTTAAGTCTAGGGGTAGGGTGTCCTGATTCTTGTTGAGATAGAGGGGGAGGGTGAAGTGTTGGGACTACATGACCCACCAAACAGAGGTTTTTCAGAGACTCCAAACAGAGTGATATGAGAAAAAAAAGAAAAACCGGTAAGACGGCTGAACAAGAGACCAAAGAAACACACAAATGTGAGAAATTTCTTTAAAAATTACGATAAACACTGTATTATCTTAGTTTAATGTCGTTTCAGTGCATTATGGTTCCTTTCTTCATAACAAGCATAAAAATCGCTAATAACACGCTAATGTCTCAGCAGCTAGCTAACTTTCCCATTCCACCTTAAATAGTCCAGCAGTTCTGACGCTTGAAGCGCCAGAACGTAACTGCTGCTCCATTTAAGGTGGAACAGGAAAATTCGAACAAGAAGCTGGAGAATATCTGACCTCAGCTTCATATCACTGAAGAATTAGGGGTGGGTGATAATAAATAATTGCCCCCCTCTTTGAAGGCATATGATGCCCTAAATGTAACTAAAGCCCAGCAGTGAGGAGCTGAACTTTACCCTCCTCTGCTGTCACTGCAGACTGGCAGGGTCGCCTGCAGAGCAGCGCTGGTAGCTGTTAATGACGTAAAGCTCTTATTATTTGAGGGTCCCATTTCAGAGGGAAGATTTCAACAACTACCCCTTTAAACTCAGTTCCAAGGGGCAAGATGACCCTTGAAAACAAGGGGTGTTGGGCCTTAATCTCATAATTATGACTTAGCATCTCATAATTATGTCTTGCTGTCTTATAACAATGGGATCTCATCTTATTATATGGATAATGTTTCACATAATTTGTCTCATAATTATAACTTACATTATCATTATATATATTATAACTTCCCATCTCATAACTAGACTTAGCACCTCAATTATGAATAAGTATCTCATAAGAATGACTTAATCTCATAATTACAACTTAATATCTCATAATTAGTATCATATTTATGAGACAACTCATTATTATGAGACAGTAAGACATTATCATGAGAAACTGTCTCATTATTATTACATACTATGTGCCTTACATACTTACACTCTGCGTTTTTAGTGGCTCCCGAAAGTGTGGGTGCCCTTGGCTAAAGCTGCAGAGAAATAGCTAACACCTCTAAACCCAGGCAGACTGATCAGGCTGCTACATTAACTTACCTCGATAAACTCCAGAATGCCGTCAGCAGAATGGTGCCCTTCATACTCGTGGATGCTTGACTTGTTGAAGATGACTGTTGTCGGATAGGCGTTAATGTTGTACTGCAAAAATTAAAAAGACACTTAAGTGTGTTTGTGAACATAAATGTCTTTGTTCAAATCAAAGAATTTGCTTTTAACACCTGTTTAACAGTCAGGCTGATGCTATCTTAGAAAAAAATGACTGTAATAATTTCTCAGAAGAACTTTAAACAGTGCAACTATCAGATAATTTGCATGCTACAGTTTCCTGTGGAAAATGGTTGATGGTTATCAGTGGCGCTGCGATCAGTGTTATACCGGTATGGTGTTAAACCCAACAGGAAGAAGCTGGGCCTAAAAACATCTCATCTACTGCCAAAATCTGCACAACAGGTGAGGGAGGAATCTCCATTAATGAGCGGTAAGAAGAAGCATACATGCATAAATACATGAATGCTAGCAATAATAATAATAAATGTATAAAGTTTTTGTGTACATAGTGTTAGGAAACAGACTCTAACGCAGCTTTGACTTCTGTTTTAAAATTAAAGCAGACCAGCAGATGAATGAATGCAAAGTACCTTAAAACAATGCACAAATCCATTCATGTCCAACAACTAAATTTAGTATGATAAAAAAGGAAAAATGCCACAGAACTTGTTCTGATTGGTCTAAAGTGATGAAGTTTGTATTGTGTGTAATTTTCTTACTTTTATTCACAACCAAATTTAAATAATACAAAAAAATAATCCATTCGTTCTATTGTTTTTTGTGCAATCAAGGGGCTAATTTAAATATAAGTGATAAAAACTAAATTTTTGGCCATATGGTTTGAGCAGGTTTGACCAATATCCTCAGATGTGAGGTCAGGGAAGCTCAGAGGACACATGGCCCAATTTAACATTTCACATATGGGTCGTTCTGCATTTGGAGTGGGAATTCAGGTGGATACATTTTTTAAAAAAATCAGTTTCTTTCATCACAAAACCAAACAATCTTCATACGTCTAATTACATCTCCTATCATATTTACAGTCACTGGTGTTGTATGAATATGGTGTAACACCAGTGACGGTGACTCCAGTGACTTCCTGGTTAAAACTGAGGATTCTGTAAATCGGCCGACTCATTGGCTGATCAGGTGACCTTGTGTATTTAAATCAGTAATAAAAGTGATATTTGGCAATATTTTGACAAAACTAATCTCCCAGCTATTAAAGCACATAACACCGGTGACATATAGAAGTTATGAGCTGCCTGATAGTCAAAATTATAAATAAATTAATGAAATATAGTGAGCGAGTGTGACTCGCCTGCTCATGTCTCGAGATGCTTCCTCTCTGATGAGCTTCGACCCAAAGAAGCAGTTTAATAAAGCTGAAAATACTGTGTTACAATGTAAAATAAGAGTCCTGATAACACCAGCGACCAAAATCTCTGACAAATGAATTTTTTAAATAAAATACTGTATATATTTTTAAATGTAGTAAAACGTTAATGATATAAAAAGTAAACATGAATCTGTTTTATACACATTCCTGAGTTAAACCTCTTAAATATAATGTTTTATATTAAAAATGGTTGAAAACTGGTTTTGTGATGAGCCGTTTTACAGATGCAGAGCGACTATGAAACAGGATAAAAAAGAAAAATGTGTTATTTAATTGGAGCTGTGCCGAATATTTTTAAGCATCTTTTTAAGCCCTGAGACCTTTGTGACATGGTTTCCCCTCCAGACTGAGAATGACCCATATGCACATTAATGTGTTAGAACAAACAAAAACACCAAAACTTTAAAAGTTTGAAATTAACTCACGCACATAATGACTGAAAAAGTGGCTTCACCAGCAGCACACTACTTAATACTGTCTTAAGCAAACATGGCCGACCAAGTAAAAGCTGTGCAAGTTTTAAAATCAAGGTTCTTGACAAGCTATCTGAGGTCTCAGCCGCTGCAAAACCCCAAACCCTGTACGCCAGAGCAGCACAGAGAGAGTGCTGTACACATGCATGCATGTTGTAAGATCCATCATTGCAGGGTGAGGACAGAAATGAAGGTGAAAATCTGGGTTTCCTGTGTTCTGTGGTTTCTGCTGACTGGGTTCTAGAAAACAGTATGGGTTCCAGGGACCGGAGACTTAAGAAGACTGAACTAGCAAATATAACAACATTTATCTAAGACATTTAAACTGCAGGCCTTTTATTAAATTTCCAAGCATTTCACTGATAGTTGCACCGTGTATGACTGTGTATGTGACAAATAAAACTTTGAAACTTATCATTAATCTAAATTATTAATCTTAGTATTTACTCAATAACTATTATGATTTATTCAGCACTTCATTTTCGATATCTACTATGAATTAGTATCTATTATCAATTATACAGTAACGACAATGAATTTATTTGGAAACTATGATTAATTATTTTGTATCTATTATGAACTATTCAGAATTTCCTATGAATTATTCAGTATCTTCTGTCATCTTGTAACTATCATCAATAATCCAGTGACTACTATGAATTATTAGTAACCATGAAACTAATATTGAAGTTACATAATAATGAGAGCAGACACTGAAGTTTGCTGTGTCTTGCAGTTTAAGAGGGAAAACACAAAACAAATCATAGAACAGTCATTGGATTTTTGACGTCCTGAAATCATATTTCTAACCCTGATAAATCAGTTTGTGTCTCCTGGAGGTCTGAGTTAGAGTGGAGTGTGTTTTTCTCACCATGCTGCAGAGACCCTCGTGTATGGTGCAGTCTAGAGTGCCAAACTTCATCTGTCCATGCAGCTGGATGGAGGCCTTTCTGAGTTCAGGCAGCAGAGCACGACAGGGGGGGCACCACTACACACACACACACACACACACACACACACACACACACACACACACACACACACACACAATATGTAAAAGGCTGTACCGAGTTAAGCACTGTTTCTCAGAAAGACGCTCTTAACTTGCTCAACTACAGTATTAGTATTATACAGTATTAAAGAACTGTGTAGATAAAGGTTTGAAATTTCTGTCACCACTTGGTGAAGAAGATAAGAGGATAAAATTTTGAAATTTAGAAGATAAAATTTTTGCTGCCGATACCGATTTTGAGGGAATGGTTTTTAAAAAAAAAAATAATAATCTAAATTTACCCAACCTCCCACTTACTCCGGATGCAGCTGATCAGACGAGACATGTTTGGAGTCTAAATTTTACTTACTGAGTAACTGGAACTGGAGCTACAATGTCTAACAAACACTAAAACTCAATAGTCACCCAAATCATTTCTGTAAATATACATCCCTAAAGCTTCTCTCAACCGGCTCAATCCACATACAGGTCTTCACAAAGGTCCTGATGACTTGTCAGTGTGGTTTAAAGCTCAGTATGACTTTCCATGAACTATAAAAATGAAAAAAAAAACTTTACTTGGATCAGATTCCTCTGTATTTATGCTGGTCACTGAGTGCGTTTACATGCACACGATGCACATCATAACTTGATCATAATCAGATTTCCGCAGTTCCGCATTTCTGATTACTCCAATGGTCGTGTAAACAGCATACTCTGATTTCTTAGACCGGAGTAAGGTCTAGAAATCTGATTAAGAAATCTGATAAGAGGCTGGATTTAGCTCAGTAGTCAGATTTCTCAGTGCATGTGAACTCTCACTCTGATTTCTTTCGGATTTCTCAGTCTGAGCATGTGCGAAAACAGACCAGAAATAAGCGAGCAGCGTTGCAGCAAAACATTTTTGGAGAGACGCTGAAACCAAATACATTCTCAACGAATTAATCAATCAATCTCAACGAATGATTTAAACATTCTTCAACTTCTAGTTGATTAATGTTCATATTTCCAAGTAAAGTGGTGCGATGTTTTTTTAAAGAAGACGTTTTCGTCACATCATCTTCTCTGAGTTTATTGGCAGGCTGTAAAGCAGAAATCTGATTACTGTCTGAATCATGTAGATCTGGAGTTTTCCCATTATCTGATGATTCAAGTGCATGTAAACATGTTGATCAGATTACTGACAAATTCTGACTTTCCGCAGTTACTGGATTAGCAATGCATGCAAACACACTCAATGTAACACATACTGATTCGAGATCAGCGCTCATGTTGCTGAGGTGGTCTGTACATACAGACCCCGTTGTCTAAAGCGGCCGCCCACAGTTCTGTTCACTTATATTATTCACAGTAAACCGCATCAGCAAGTCTGTGGCACCTTTGCGAAGACCTGGATGCAGTTTAAGAAAAATACTGGTGATGTATTTTTACAGAACCAGTTTGGGTTATTTGGGTGACTATTGAGTTCCAGTATCTGGAGCCTCACTGCATGTCTTGGCTGATCAACAGAATCTGGGATAAGTGGAAAACTGGGTAAAACTGATTTTTTTATTGGGGTAAAATACTGATAGTATCGGCTGATATAATTATATACTTTAATTTTATACTCTATTAGTAGTTTTTTAGTTTTAAGTCTTTAATAACGTCAATATTGTAGCTCAGGGCACTCAAAATTCTTTACTGTTTAAGTTTCTTTTAATTACCTCTAATTTTTTGTGTGTGTTTCAACATGTTATTCTCATGCTAAAGATGAGGTTTGAATACATTTTGTTACCCAAATTCTGTTATGTTTTATGTCCAGATTGACCAGCTCAGCCTTTACTGTTACATTTTGTGCTCAGATTGACCTAGCAGACGATAGCTCTGTCATGTACGTAAACAAGAAGTGACTCATATTGGGCTTCCCAGTGGCACAACCACCTAAAGTTATGACCTTTCATCGAGAGATTACGAGTTTAAATCTTGATGAAACCAGGATTGTTATCATTTTCGGCAATACTGATAAAAAATAAATAAATAAACAAAAATGTGGTCAATATCTGGTAATATTATCAGCCAACAAGTCAAGTACGTTAAAATGCACACAAAAACACTTCACATCGAGCCGTGTTAATATCTGACCGCAGAGACGGCTGATGAGGCAGCTGCAATGCATGTTTAACTCACTGTGTAAAATTATGGACGGGGAATAGCAACAATATTTTATAAAATATGAGAGAACCTCATTCAGTTTGCTGTGGGGGGTGTAATAACTCACAGGTGCGAAGAAGTCCACCAGCCAGGGCTCCTTCTCGTCCCGGGGGAAATTCTCCGGCCGCAGCGTTGTAACATGGGCGCTCACGCTCTCCTTCGCAAACGCCACGATGTTATACAGGGCGTCTTTACCTGAGGACACAGGAGAGCAGCTTAAAACAAACACCAAATTACAGAGAAACAGTGAGGAAACAGCAGCACAGCCAACTACAGAAGAAACATGTTAATGGGGCTTTAAAAAAAACCCTGTATAATTAAATCTCTCGGAGGTAAACAAAGTTTTCGGAGTGGTCTGAGGTGAATTGCTTACTGAATCACGATTGCCCACAGTGGTGCTGATAGGAATCAGACATCTTAAGAGTTCAATGCCTCACAGAAGGTTGTTAAATAAAGTTGTTATGAATACACTGTCTGAGGCCTGAGACACTGTTTTACCAATGTTTTGAAAAGGTAAAATCCGTTCATGGTGGAGGGGTAAATGCAGGGCGCTGTGAAGTAAAATTGTCCCCAATTATTTTTTCTGATTATCCTCTATTTCAGCACCATCAACATTATATATAAACTCAGAAGACTCGTGTAGGTTCACTGGTGGTTTTGGATAGTAAATAAAACGTCTATATTTGTGTTGTAGTCATGGTGACCCCTGGTTCCTATCACCACCACTGTAAAGAAATCGGAGTCTGTTACTGCTACAGAGTAAGTGCTGCAGGAACTGCTTATTTTCTCCCTATTGGCTCAAATTGCAATCCAAGTACCGCTTTTTCCATACGAATGCTTAGTGACAGCCTAGATCACTAATCATTTTTTGCAGCCTTATTTTATAGACGTGCCGCTCGTTCTATTTATGTGTTCTCAGCCATACTTCACAGTTTATCGCCTTACAGTGTTAAATCTTTTGCTACATTGTGAAAACTCTGATAGTCATCTGTAAACCCACCGTGATGGATCTCGAAGTCATGAATGCCGAGCCCTTTGAAGACGGCCATGCAGGGTTTCTGGATGTAGAGAGAAGCACACAGTTCTGCTTCTGACGCACAATCCACCTTCCCCACCTGCACACACACATATATACAGAAATACAGCAGAAACACACTGCGGTGAGAGCAGGAATACATTTTATATATTATACATACAAAAAAAGACTTTTGTCCTTTACATTGTATGTAAATTTCAGGATGAATGGACAAAAAGAAACGGCCCAAAATGACTTGGAAAAAAGTCTGGTTCCATTGACTTACATTAAAAGTAAAGTATGTTTTTCCTTCTCCTGTAAAGTTACCCTTTTGGAGATACGAGGTTTTCTTCCAACAACAAATGATATGTTAAATTCAGCAAATAAACAGTAATTTTGTATGTATTTGTATGTATTTTGCACAGACGTAAATGTGTATATAAAAGTTTGGGTGCCCCTGGTCAAACTCCATGTTTTGTTGACATTCTAGGTGATAATAAATTCACGGAGAACACACTTCTGTGCACAAAATACAAATACATACAAAATTACTGTTTATTTGCTGAATTTAACGTATCATTATAAGAAATATTATTTTTTCTAAAATTTTAAACTTATCAATACATACAAATTGTGCACTAAAATATGCAGACCAAAGCAATATTTGAGTTTGTTTTCTGCAGATGATGTGTTAATTTATTTTCACTTCACATTCAACTGTATGAAAAAGCACAATTATCAATCATATCAGACTCGGACGGTCAGTTAGTACTGAGATATTTCTGTGTGGAAAATGCTTTAACCTGTATGTGGGCGTCTTTGAGGAGAGCGCTGAGCTTTTTGTACTCATGAGTGGCCACACTGTTCTCCCCAAAGGTGAAACTGATCAGCCAGCGGTGACGAGCCAACTTGTCCTGAAAGCACAGTGTCATCATTTAATCAGCAGACTAATCTGACATTAATCACACTGCATGTATTTGTGAAGTCCGGTGTGAGTCACAACAGCAACACTGAGCAAACACCTGCTGGGTGGGGTGAAGGAGTGCAACTGCTTCAGCAACACTAATGCGTTTCCTCTGTGTTCAGACTGCTGCACGGCTAAATAACCACATTACTCACTCACATTCAGATCCATTACCTCAAAACTGTACTTTGTGAGGGTCTCCAGGTCAGGCATGTGCTGCATCACCTGCGTGTAAATCTCTCGGGCATCCAGAGTCTTCAGAAACTGCAAGACCAAGAAATTCATTCATTCAGAGAAAGACAGAGGATCAAAGAGAAACCTGCACTACGACTTCATAGGAATACTGGATGATACTGTCCTTCAGAAAATGACTTTAGTAGTATTGAATACTATATTGATTAGCACTGAATAATACTACAGCATGGTATAGAAGTAAAAAAAAATAAAAATAAAAAAAATAAAATAATAATAATAATAATAATAATAATAATAATAATAATAATACGACATCAATAATGCATATTTTTTTCCACCCAAAAGTTTTAGCCAAAAATGATCAAAATGGCAAAAAGTGCTAAAAATGATTGTAGAAAAAAAACAGATCAAAATCTATCACTTTCCAACAAATTTTACTGAAACAGTGATTAAAAACTGTTTCTTTTCTGTTTATTTTCAGTATTCAAACTGCAAAATATAACTAAAAACAATGTATTTCAATGCACTGGATGATCAGTCGTTCTATGTTGTCAAAGACTATGGATTAGGTGGCAAATACTTCAGCCCACATACTGTAATAACTTTAGAAAGTTTATTTAAAAAAAACAACTAAATGTATCATATTTGTGTGTGAAACACTGTATCGGGGGGTCTCTTGAGCTAGCTGAGCACTTTCTCTCTGTGATTGATTACGAGAGGTGGGCGTGGTGATGGAACAGGGAAACATTGTATTATTGGTTAATATTAATTTGCCCCAGTCAATGATGCGCATTTCTTCAAAAATGAGATGGCGTTTGCAGTTGTGGAAAACTATGGGAAAACAAGAATTTTGTCCTTTAAATGACGATACGACGAATCATATTTAATATGGTATTTAAAAAAGGTGAAGGCCTAATGGACACAGTACAACCGGAATGAAATAACAGTATTAACCACATTTTGAATTAGCTAAAGGTTTTCCTTGGTTTTGCTCCGGTGTTTTATTACGTTTTCACTCCATACATACCATTTTAACTCCATAACTACTACTACTGCTACTACTGCTACTGTTACTAATGATAATAATAATAATAATAATAATGATAATAATAATAATAATAATAACAATAATAAAGAGTAATTCAAAATCATTATCACTATCATTTACAGTTCTGTGGTTAATGCTAAAGGCCCATATCATGGAAAACTTTCCACACTTTCTTCAAACAAGAGTTTAGTGAAGTATGTAAACAGTAGCCACGTTTACATGCAGCCTGATAATCCGTTAATAATCTGACTAATAGCTCAATCAGAATAGAACACGTCCATGTTAACACCTCAATCGGAATAGTCTAGTCCGACTGAGGCCATTTGGAATACAGTTTCCCTCCAATTGAACGAGGTGGGTAATCCTGTAAATAATCCATCAAATAGAAGAATAATATCCGTGTAAACGCCTGTATCTGATTACATTCCCTATCGGAAA